TGCCAGAAATCTTGGAATCTGTAAATGCTTTTTCATAGGATTTTATGAAATGGTCATAAGAAATAGAAAGAAATATCCACATGTTAACACACAGGTTATTCTCTCAGTGGGACTAACCACAGCAATTTGACTCAGTGATGCCATGAAGTTAATGTCATTTTCTTTTCTCTTCTTTTTTTCTCTATTAAGTATATCAAAATGAATCTTTTGCCTTAAAGCCTCCAAATTTTGTATTGAAATATGTTTATGTAGCTCCTTGCAATAAGAGCAAGGATTTAAAACTCTTATCAGATTTATATTAGCTCTAAGTTTATTCTTAAAACTTTAGAAAAACGTCCAACTCAAACTTATTGCCTGATAAAAGCTAAGCCGATATTAAAACTTCGATTCCTAGGATTGATTTTATCGTGGCTGTAGTGAGAAAAGCGCCAATCACGCGAAAAGAGCCCAACCCAGGTAATCCAATAGAGAAGCTGTTGCCATGAGACAAATTAGCATTTCCTTTTCTTTCTTGGGATTCCTATTTTCCAACTCGTAAAATTGTTTAGAAGGTGTTTCAAGTGCCTATTGAAACAAAATTAGGCAACCGGAAGTGTTGATAGCAGCTAATTATTTGTTATTGTCATTAACAAAGAGACAGAAAACAAAACTAGTTTTTTGTGTAGATTGTCATTGCACCATGGTCTTGCTACAAATTGTTATTATTATCCAACAATAGAACATTTAATCTCATAATCATAAAATACGGATGTATTTGATTTCATATTGCGCTGGGAACAAAGGAATTTTTCTTATGATCTCATTTACCAGTCTACTTGACGTTCTGTTGAATTTGAGCAATTGTTAAACATGCTAGTCGTTAATGCTACTAAAATCAAAAATAAAACACGATTAACTGTTGTTCCTCATGTTTGTGGAATCNTGAAACGCCGGCATTGTATAGAATGACTAGGCATTGTATAGAATGCCTGAAGTTTTTAGGCAAAGTATGAAATGTGAGAAGTATTACATACTTTGCCTAGGCATTGGATAGTATGCTTAGGCATTCTATACAATGCTGGATGCCCTAAATAGCATAGTATGAAATAAACGTCATGATGAGGTTATTATGTAAATGATGTGCATGTTACTGTGAATGAGCGAAATCGGTGATTGTTGACTTTCTCCGGTGAATGTTGACAATCGCATAGTCGCTTTGGTGAATGTCGGAAATATTTATTACATCCAATTTCAGATTAATTTATTCGTGGATATAATTACATTTATTCGATATTTTAATACTTTCTGACGATAGATTAGAAGAAACATCAGTGTTTGGAGCATCGGGCAAATATAACCGGGCAATGGCACTTGGTCTTAAAAAAACATCAGTGTAGGGTATACTGGGCATATGTATACCGGGCAGTGGCACTGAACCTTAAAAAAACACCAGTGTAGGGTATACCGGGCAGCGGCACTTGACCTTAAAAAAACATCAGTGTAGGGTATACCGGGCAAATGTATACCGGGCAATTGCACTTAACTAGACTTAGTATGACTAGGCCTTTGGTAAATGTCCGAAATATATAGTAGGTCTAGTTAAGTGCCACTGCACGGTATACCCTACACTGATGTTTTTTTAAGGTTCGGTGCGGTGCAATTGCCCGGTATACATTTGCCCGGTTTACCCTACACTGAGGGTTTTTTTAAAGGTTCAGTGCCACTGCCCGGTATACCTTACACTGATATTTTTTAAGGTCAAGTGCCATTGCCCGGTATATATTTGTCCGATACTCCAAACACTGATGTTTCTTCTAATCTATCGTCAGTAAGTATTAAAATAACGAATAAATGTAAATATATCCACGACTAAATTAATATAAAATTGGATGACGTTTTGAATATGTCATTTTTGAATAACATTTTGACGAATCGGAGACGAATTTTATACTTTGCCGGTTTCTAATTTGGCATTCTATAGAATACCTAGGCAATGTGTGAAATATAAATCATTTCATACTTTGCCGGCTAATTTTAGGCATTCTATACAATGCCTTGTCATTCTATACAATGTCGGATTTCATACTTTACCGGTAACATATGCACACTAAAGATTTTCTTAGATTACAATATAAGAGTGAATTTTTTCATAATATTTTTGTGTTAAAAACAATTTTTGTTTCTTCTCATACTAAAGATAAAAATTCATAACTTCTCGAAAAATTAAAAGTAACCAAAATTTAAACACATTTATTTAAGTGAATATTATAAAGAATTTTTTCCAATGTGATATAAAGTTTTGTCAACGCACATATCATACCTGCCAACCCCCATTTTCTAAAATTCTTAAGATTTATTTCAAAGTTGCAAAATAAATCGCTTGAACTTTATTTTTTTCTTGATTTTCAAATTTTTATACGAATCCCCAGTAATTAAGAATCAAAAAATCATAACAAATATTACAATTATTTAACAAAATACATAACTATTTTATTTTAAAATAAACATGTTAGCAATAAATTTCTTCATATTATGAATACAGTTCGCAAATATATTATTACCTTCATCGTTTAACATTAACGTCTTGTTTTTGCCAAAAGATATGGTGAAATACAAGAGAAAAATACATGTTTGTATTTTTATTTCTTTAATACAAATGAGTAAGCTTTTATTTTTCATTCAAGAAAGCAACAGTTGGATTTACTGCTTTTACTTTAATAATTATTGTTTTCAAATACAAAAAGCTTTTCATGCTTGTATACCCATTTCATAAATATATTTGCCAGAAATCTTGGAATCTGTAAATGCTTTTTTATAGGATTTTATGAAATGGTCATAAGTGTTATCCATTTTTCCACAAATAAAATGAGCAATATAGCGATCGCACTTATCTGTCGTCTCATCTACTTCAATCCATATAGGGCCATCTCCAATATCAGTCGAATATCATCCAGTACTTCTTTATATATCGGTTGAAGGTAGTTCTTTCTTAAAGTCGATTCATCGGGAATGATCTGATTGGTACAATATTTTTTAAAAAACTGTCTTAAGTTTGGATTATTTAACTTTTTTAAAGGAATATTGCTGCTTACTAAGGCTTTGCATAAATCACTAGAAAAATCACTTTCCTTTTTAGCTGCTTGAACAGGAATAGTTAATAAACTTTGAACAAATCCTTTTGTATTCTGCTTTTTCTTCGCGGAGTGAGCATTAGTCTTTATACGTTGATCGATTTGGCACTTTTTTTCCACAGGAAATGTGTTTTTGTCAAATCACACAAAATACTATTTCCCCATCGGTCGTAAAGTCCTTCCCATAGTCCGAAATCCATGTCTTCATTAAATTTGATTTAGTCGACTTAATTTTTGACATATTATAAAATTCAGCAGTCAAAAATCACGTTCCAAGCTTCACTAACTACGCATTCAACTGATGGATGTCGAAGCTATCTATCTATCGGATGGACTATCGAAATAAGTTAGAATAGCAGCTCTCTCCGAAAATGTATTCACTCCACCTTTTAACTAATCAATCACAGGAAAGGGAGGTCATTTTCTACCTACCACAGAAGCCTTATTTTTCCCACACAGATTGACAATTATTCATTCCAGGAAAAGACATCCCTTCATAGAATATCTGACCATCCCTTTCTGAGGTTTCTATGACGAATGTCTGTTTGGGTGGGCCCTTTGTACCCCCTTCCCGACACACACCTCATTTCTACATCTTTTTCACGTGATTGCAATCACCCCCAGCAACATCAATCCAGCTGACCCTTTCAGGTGATAAAGAACGACAAAACAAAATTTAAAGCGTTCCTTATGCTAACATAAAAAGAATAGTGATATGGTTTTAGGAGGGAAAGGCCATAAAATGCTAAAAATATGCATTTATAAGAGCAAATATATCTTTTTATGCATTTATATGCACAAATGGCAAAAAGTGCTAAAATATGCAATTGCATATGCACGTATGCAATTGCATATTATCCGCTGTCTAGTCATAAGAAAGGAATATTGTATTCCACGCGTTAACACACAGAGCAGGGGTTATTCTCTCAGTAGGACTAACCACAGCAATTTGGCTCAGTAATGCCATGAAGTTAATGTCATTTTCTTTTCTCTTCTTTTTTTCTCTAGTAAGTATATCAAAATGAATCTTTTGCGTTAAAGCCTCCAAACTTTGTATTGAAATATGTTTATGTAGCTCCTTGCAATAATATACTGTATTTGCTCTAGATCACGCGGAACTCATTATATCATTGAATTCATTTCTTGTGTGATATACTTTTTAAATTGTCAACTAATTAGTATTTAAAGACCATTTTCATGAAATAATGTCTACCTTTTATCTTAACTTTGATAAATAAAATAGAAGAAAATTTTGGTTTTATAAATTGTATAATTTGGACCAAAAATAATAAGAGCAAGGATTTAAAACTCTTATCAGATTTATATTAACTCTAAGTTTATTCTTTACTTTACTTCTTTTCTTAACTTTAGAAAAACGTCCAACTCAAACTTATTGCCTGATAAAAGCTAAGCCAATAATTAAAACTTCGATTCCTAGGATTGATTTTATCGTGGTAGTGAGGAAAGCGCCAATCACGCGAAAAGAGCCCAACCCTGGTAATCCAATTGAGAGGCTGTTGCCATGAGGCAAATTAGCATTTCCTTTTCTCTCTTGGGATTCCTATTTTCCAACTCGTGAAATTGTTCAGAAGGTGTTTCAGGTGCCTATTGAAACAAAATTAGGCAACCGGAAGTGTTGATAGCAACTAATTATTTGTTATTGTCATTAACAAAGAGACAGAAAACAAAACTAGCTTTTTGTGTAGATTGTCATTGCACCAAAGTCTTGCTACAAATTGTTATTATTATCCAACAATAGAACATTTAATCTCATAATCATAAAATACGGATGTATTTGATTTCATATTGCGCAGAGAGCAAAGGAATTTTTCTTATGATCTCATTTACCAGTCTACTTGACGTTCTGTTGAATTTGAGCAATTGTTAAACATGCTAGTCGTTAATGCTACTAAAATCAAAAATAAAACACGATTGACTGTTGTTCCTCATGTTTGTGGAATCTGCAAAAAAGCATTCCTTCAAGAAAAATCATTGCTAGAGCATTTAAAATCTCATGATGTTGAAATCTGTGAATCTTTCGAGTCGAAGACAATAAAGACTAAACTAACAAGTTCAACGAAACGAAATTGTAATAAAAATATAAAAATTAATGAGACATGGGCTGTAGGTTCCAAATTACGCGATAAAGTTAGTACTGAGACTAACGTCATCGGAAAAAAGTTGCATATTTGTGAAATATGTAATCGTAATTTTTCTTCAAAGACTTATCTTTTCAAACACATTAAGCTCCATAAAGGAGATCGATCCTACCAATGTGATGTTTGCCAAAAATCATTCGTTCTCAAAGATAATCTTGTCAAACATTCAGTGACTCATGATCCTGATAAAAAACGCTATTTTTGTTTGGAGTGTGGTAAAGGTTTCACATCCCGTCAATACAAAGAAAAACATGAACTAATACACTTAGGAGAAAAGCCACATGTTTGTCCTGTCTGCAAAAAAGCTTTCACACTAAAAACCAATCTTAATAAACATATTCTCATACATTCAGAGGAGCGGTTACGATTTTCATGTGGTGAATGCGGTAAAGGATTTTCATCAAAAGCCTACCTTGAAAAACACCATTTAATTCATGCAGGAGAGAAACCTTACGTTTGTGGCATTTGTTCGAAAGCTTTTACCTTGAAATCCAATTTGCAAAAGCATTACCTAACGCACACTGGTAACAGAAAATATGACTGTACTGTTTGTCATAGAAGGTTTAAAAGTCAGGTTGCCTTAGAAAAACATAGTACATTGCATTCCGATGAACATTTGTTTAAATGTTTGTTGTGTTCATTTGTGTCTAGTGAAGGTGCAGAAATGGAAAAGCATGCACAGACTCATACAGTTATTTCTAGTTCTGATAAAGATTTTTGTGATATAATTTCATTTAAAGGGGATTGTGTTGGCTTAAATGAAATTGTGATTGAAAGTGAGAGTTGTGAAAATTTTAAATATGAGGAGCCTTTAAAACCCTAATAATGATATTGTAATTATTAATTAATTAAAAGATTTTATTTAGAATTGTTTTATTGCTAGTTTTTTTTTTTTTTTCAATGATATAATGATGGAATGACATAATTTAGACTACAAGGTGGCCAATTCCTATATGTAATGAAGTTTTTTTTGTTTTTTTGATACATAGTTTTTAAAATATTGGATTAATGTATTTGTGTTTAGTGTTCTTTTAAAGGAATAAGATAGTTTTGTTGATCAAAGTATTAAAAAAATCTTTTTCTTCTTTTAATTTTGTGACTAATTAAAGAAGCAAATGAGCTCAGTTACGTTTCCTCTGTTTAATTTTGCAAACACAGATTAATCGGCAATTTTTTTAAACATTATTTATAGATTTTATTGATGGTTTTGCTTGCAGAATGTTAAATATCAGCCTCATTGATAGTAGCAGGGGTCTGTCTAGGTTTTTCTGATAGGTACCTATTTTGTGAAAATTTAGACATAATTTGTGAAAATTAAAAATTATATTAAAAAATCAACATAAAAATGTGGTAAAAATATGGATTTATTTATTGTTTCTTACGAGACACAAAAATAAAATTTTAAAAGAAAGTACTACCGTTTTTCCTAAACTTGAATTTGTGATGGTACCGCTAAATGGTAGTAAATTTGGCTTGGACAGACCCCTGAGTAGAAATGTTTATGTTTATAGATCTGAAGTAAAACTGATGTTTTTTTTAAAGCTCATTGGCATAAATTTTTAATGCACAATTTACATGAATTTGTGAGTGCAGTTCACAGAGAAAATTTCTCACCATTGTGAAGTTTTTGTTTAACTACTACTGATTATTAAAAATAAAAACTTTCAGAATTCCCATATTCTTCCCAGCCGTTAATTTTAAAAAACTAGGATACAAGATCAGACAATTTGTTAAGTTAATAACTAGCTTTATATCTTTTAAAAATTGCTAAATTTAAACAAATACATGCTAATATGCTTAATAATCAATATAGAGTTTTATAAAAATTGAAACACTTTTTTAAAAAAATCAATAATTTTGAATAAATTTCGTCAAAATTAGGTGGCAGTGAAAGGAATTGGGACTAGTTACAAGAGCATATAATTACTTACAAAAAGAAGTTTTTTAATTGATTTTTTTTTATTTGTTTTGAAAAAGTTTTTTATTTGAAAATTAAAAGTTTTTCTTTTTATCTAAGTCCACTAATTGGTAGATGGCAGGTCAATTATCAAAGAAATATCCACTTGGTGTAAATATATATTTATTACTACTTTTTAATATAATATTTTTCATCATGCATAAATTATTTTTTATTATTTTGAATTAATGAGTTAATTTATACAAATATACTTACCACAGCAGACTGATTGTAAAAAACGGTTCTCAGTAAATCACTAAAGTCAAGCATCATTGACTGTGTTCAGTGAGTGTTGGTTGACCATTTTGATTAGCCTGTAAAGGGAAACCTGTTCTACTGTTACCAAAAGTGAGATCATCCCCTATGCAGCGGATTAAAATTGTGATGGCATATCTTCAGATCATTTACAGGGATGTTTACCAAGACTTTCGCTCCAATTGACTGTTGAGCAGCTTAAATTAGTAGTACTACTATTGTACATATGTATAAAATTTTGTTAATAATAATTACATCGAAGTGAAAATTGTAGTTTTGAGCTGAAGAAATAAATTTTAACTTTATATTCACATTTTCTGTTATTGGTTTATTTTATTATATCTCAAAGTGTCAAGGAATTTTAAAATTTTTAAATGTCAAGGAATTTTAATGAATGTAATAACAAATATAAGGTACATATTATTTTAGTTTTTTTAATAAAAAAAAAATATTTTATGTAATTCAGCAATTTTTTTGGTCTTTAACTATAGGTTTTAGTCTTTTAACTATATAAAATTTTAATTTTGAATTAATTCATACAAAATTGTCTAAAGAAAAAAAGTAATTTAGAAAGAAAAGAAAAAGACGAAATCAATACTTACATATCCCGTTGACCATTTTCACCAAATCCCAAAATAAATTTGTATGTGATTCAGATCTAAATATTGTCTCATTTTTTTGCATGGAATAAGTTATATTTTGCATTTTTTCTATTTCTTTATGATCAATTACTATGTAAAAAAAAATTGGAAGATACGAAAATGGCATTGCGAAATGTTGGCGAAAATCATCATACAAAAGTACCAAGAAATCTTATAGTTAAATAGAAACATATTGTGTGGAATCTGCATTTAATTTACAAACCTAAAATCTCACATTGTCTTACCTTTCTAAAGTAATGATGGCATAAATCTTTGATAGAATGATTAAAGTTTTTCTATTTTCAGAAATGTATTCTTTCAACCAACTCAACAACCATTGAGCTTTCAGTGGATCTTTAGTTAACTCATATTTTTATTGTGGTCTATATTTAAAGTATACTTATGCTATAAAAGGTTATTTAATGCCAGTAGATTTTTATTTAATATATTTGATCTTCTAACACTATTATCTTAATTTTATGTTTTCTTATAGTAATTACCAAAAATAGCATTAAAATTTGTTCAGTATTAGATTTTTAATCCTAATTTAAAGATTTCAATAGCTTTTCAAATACACAATTGTTCAAAATAAAATTTTTATGTCTTCAACTGTGTTACCTAGCTGAGATTTAAGTTCCTAGTAGTTCTCTATTAGTTAGGAACATAAAAAGAATTATTAGACTTGGTTTTTGGCACGTGTATTAGATTTATAGCCTAAATATATTTTCATTGTTTCTCTTTCAGTTAAAATTTAAAAAACCAGCAGGGCAAAGTTGCCCAAAATCAGGAATGACTGAGCTCACTATATAATTCCAATTGAAAACAGTCTCTGAAGTCAACTTCTCAGAAATGTTATCTTTGCGGAGGGTGAAATGAGCAAAAATATATTTGAGAGCATTTAAAAAAAAATTAAATGTTTTTTTTTATAAATCATATTTGTAGTAGGCTTTTGTTAGATATTCATTATAAAATTTTAGTAGATAGCTGTAATTTAAAAATTTAGTAATGTGACTCGCGTGGTTTAAAAGAATTTTAAAAAATCTTCAGAAAGAAAACTTGCATAAGCATTTCCTTTGAGATGAAATTTTAAAAACTACGTCGATCAGAGAACTTTTCTGGAGAAGTGAATAAGTTCCTTTTGTATCTGGTAATTAAAAAGGAAACTTTTAAGTTTCAAATGTAATGTTTAAATTCTTGCTGGAAAATCTCAGTTTTTTAAAACAAATTTCACAACCATAAAGCTCTATGCTGGTTAGAAAAGAGTTTTTCGTCAATTGAATGTTTTATTACATTACATTTCCTTTTTACTCTTCCATCATTATAACTACCTGTTTCATTAGTAGAAATGTAACATCATTCTCGTTGCATATCGTCATTAACGCATACTCCATATTCTATTGCATCATTTTGACTCTTATAGGGGTAGGGAAAATTAATTCTAAATTTCTTATGGATTATGGGGTAAAAAAATTTATTGAAAAATTCATATAAAAATTAAGTCACAAAAATCACTTTATCATATTCTACATTTTATTATTGTAATTCACACTAATAAAAATGATATAAATTACTAGTCATTGCTATGGGCTTCACAGATCAAAGTAGATTCGGTACTCAAAAATATTTACTTAAAAGTTATTTAACTAATTGATTATTTCCACATCGATAAACACTCACTAAATGGAAACACAACTACCTCAATCTAAACAACATTGCAACTCACAGCCATTATTACAAGAGCAGAGATCAACAAAAAACTAGTATTGACCTCTCAAGCCATTTTTTCTTTTAAAGAGAATACATAAAATAACTTTATATAGTAATGAAAAAAATATTTAAATAAATTACTAAAACTAAATATTAACTACAAATTTGTCCTTATACTATTACGGAATTAAAATTTATGTTTAAATGCTTATCATTGATTAACAGTATAAGTAACTAGCAATGAAAGCTATTTTAAGAAAAAATATCTAAAGGGACCCAACCTGGGAGGCCTGTATGCAAGCGCATTTTTAAGAATCATCGCCTCAACGGCTATAGCCGTAACAGCAGGAGAACAACAAGTAATTGTTTACTCAACTGCCCAAAACCTTGAGTATTAACTCGATGGAGAAAGGGGAGCGAAGGCTTAGGTCCGAACCCACAGGCCCCGTCATTAAACAACCTAGCCAAGACTAGGGGCTGCATGTAGCAGAGCAAACAGACTCACCCTGACCCATTGAACCAACTTCAAACGAAAAGGCAATCGAACCGTCTTTATTTGCATATATACCTTACAAAAACTGGAATTCAATCAAAAAATAGTCACAATTCAAAATTTCGTTATAGATTTACATCGAATTTTAATTAAGTAGTTAAATTTAGAAAACTTCACATGGCTCAAGAATCTATCAGACTCCAGGAACCAATATATATAGTTGATGTGACTTCTCAACCTTATATATTTATTACTACTTTTT